ACTTTTTCAATCCCAAATGACGTCATTTGCGTGTACGCAAAGTTGCATCAATTTCAAATAAAGTCCCAGAGTTTGATCAAAACAAGTAAATTGTGCCATTCTGACGTTCATCGTCATTTGGTCTATTTTCAAATTTGACAGAAATGACATTTGATTCAAGAGCCGGGAATAGATACAAAATTATTTATCAAATAGGCCATGCATTTTCATTGGCGACGGTTAGAAAATAAGGCGCTTCCTAAAATCAATCAGTTTGACTAAAACAACCAAATTGTGCTGCCATTTTGATGTTCATCGTCATTGGTTTATTTTCAAATTTGACAGAGATGACAGTCGAATTCAAGAGCCGAGAATAAATTAAAAATTATTTTCAAGTAAGCCATGCACTTTCATTGGAAATGATTGAAAAAAAGGCATTTCCTAAAATCAACCAGGAGTGGTTTCTTTGAAATTGATGCAACTTTAGATACACTCGAGGGTCCACTCAAGTGACGTCATTTACGATTGAAAATTGGTGCACGGCTTATTTGAAATGCACTTTTTCAATCTCAAATGACGTCATTTGCGAGTACGCAAAGTTGTATCAATTTCAAATAAAGTCCCAGAGTTTGATCAAAACAAGTAAATTGTGCCATTCTGACGTTCATCGTCATTTGGTCTATTTTCAAATTTGACAGAAACGTCAGTAGAATTCAAGAGCCAGGAATAGATAAAAAATATATTTCAAGTAGGCCATGCATTTTCATTGGCGACGGTTAAAAATAAGGCGCTTCCCAAAATCAACCAGTTTGACCAAAACAACCAAATTGTGCCGCCATTTTGATGTTCATCGTCATTGGTTTATTTTCAAATTTGACAGAGATGACAGTCGAATTCAAGAGCCGAGAATAAATTAAAAATTATTTTTCAAGTAGGCCATGCATTTTCATTGGCGACGGTTGAAAATAAGGCGCTTCCTAAAATCAACCAGGAAGGGTTTCTTTGAAATTGATGCTACTTTAGATACACTCGAGGGACACTCAAGTGATGTCATTTACGATTGAAAATTGGTACACGGCTTATTTGAAATGCACTTTTTCAATCCCAAATGACGTCATTTGCGTGTACGCAAAGTTCCATCAATTTCAAATAAAGTCCCAGAGTTTGATCAAAACAAGTAAATTGTGTCATTCTGACGTTCATCGTCATTTGGCATATTTTCAAATTTGACAGATATGACAGTCGAATTCAAGAGCCGAGAATAGATAAAAAATTATTTTTCAAGTAGGCCATGCATTTTCATTAGCGACGGTTAAAAAAAGGCACTTCTTAAAATCAACCAGTTTAACCAAAACAACCAAATTGTGCCATTTTGATGTTCATCGTCATTTGGTATATTTTCAAATTTGACAGAACGTCAGTAGAATTCAAGAGCCGGGAATAGGTGAAAAATTATTTTTCAAGTAGGCCTTGCATTTTCATTGGCGACGGTTGAAAATAAGGCGCTTCCTAAAATCAACCAGTTTGACCAAAACAACCAAATTGTGCCATTTTGATGTTCATCGAGATTTGGTCTATTTTCGAATTTGACAGAAACGTCAGTCAAATTCAAGAGCCGGGAATAGATAAATAGTATATTATTCAACGAGCAGGTAATATGATTACATTACTCGCCTGCGGCTCGTACTGTAAACTTCATCCTTCGTGAGTAATAGTTATTACCCACGAGTAGAATACTATACTTTTTCTATGATTAATAGATAAATAGACACGAGTTATGCGGTTTTTTTATTAAACTTTCGTAACAAAATTACTTGATAATTCTGATAGCTGGAGGAAAAAGTGAGGTTGGGTTAGCATAAGTCTTGTCTAAATTAGCTGTCAAAATGACCGATTAGAAGATTGAAACATGTTGTCAACTTCTCGAATTTTTTGATTGGCTCTTAAATAGTGGAGTAATGGGACCAGGATATTTTCATTGGTTGAAAACAATTAAGTAATGAAAAAAAACTCACGGTATGAATAATCATTCACATTGATCAATAGAAAATTCAAATTCAATATTCATAGAAAAAAATTATTTTTCAAGTAGGCTATGCATTTTCATTGGAAATGCTCGGAAAAAAGGCATTTCCTAAAATCCTCCTGGATTTCTTTGAAATTGATGCAACTTTGGATGCACTCAAGTGACGTCATTTAAAATTGAAAATTGGTACACGGCTTATTTAAAATGCACTTTTTCAATCCCAAATTACGTCATTTGCGAGTACGCAAAGTTGTATACATTTTAAATAAATTCTCACAGTTTAATCAAAACAAGCAAATTGTGTCATTCTGATGTTCATCGTCATTGGTCCATTTTCAAATTTGACAGAAATGACATTTGATTCAAGAGCCGGGAATAAATAGAAAATTATTTATCAAATAGGCCATGCATTTTCAATGGCGATTAATTAAAAATAAGGCACTTTCTAAAATCAACCATTTTGACCAGAACAACCAAATTGTGCCATTTTGATTTTCATCGTCATTTGGTCTATTTTCAAATTTGACAGAAATGTCAGTCAAATTCAAGGACCGAGAATAAATAAAAAAATATTTTTCAAGTAGGCCATGCATTTTCATTGGCGATGGTTAAAAATAAGCCTCTTCCTAAAATCAACCAGTTTGACCAAAATAACCAAATTGTGTCATTTTGATGTTCATCGTTATTGGCCTACTTTCAAATTTGACAAAAATGACAGTTAAATTCAAGAGCCGGGAATAGATAAAAAATTATTTATCAAGTAAGTCATGTATTTCTGTAAACAACTGTCAAAGTTAAAGCGCTTCCTAATATTCACTAAATATATTGTAAATTAGAATATTTGTGACATTTTCTACTGTCTATATCTCCGTCCTTTTTTAATCGATAATATAGAAAAGAGACAACTAAATTTTTTGGCAAAATAACAACTGTCAATAAATGGGCATTTACTAACATTCACCAAATCATATCATTATACCAAGAATAGTGTTGCAACAGGGTTTAACTTTTTTCCCAATTATTACATCATTACAAATTATAATGACTAATGACCTGACAATCATAACATATTTTATTAGTACTATTGACAAGTGACATTCACAAAGCAGACAGCTAGTCTTCAAAAAGCCAACTTTGATTGTCAATTACAAATTCCTGTACTTAATAATTACAGATTTCTGCAAATGAATATAACACCATTTCACTCATCAATTGAACATGAACTAGAAACTACTCCTCAAATATATTGCACATATGCCAGAGATACATATATAAAACGGGTCAAATTGCTTATCCTGAAAAATTCAATAATGCTCACTTTGGACCTCGCATTCGAAGTTGGATATAACAATACACATCAATAACTTTTATGGGAAAAGAGAAAACCCTCCTAGCCATGCATAGAAACTGGAAAACATATATATTGTATTTTATTGTGAACATATACATTTTTACAGTTAAGTTCACTTGCTAATATTTTCTTTTTCTTTTTATGACTGGTTTATCAAAAGAAGGTTAGGAATAACCCTGAATTAAAGTTGTCACAAGTGTTTATCTATCCAAGGTTAACTATGTGTATCCTGAAGGTTATTCCAGGATAAAGTTAAGTAGACTGGTAACGTGGCATAAGTCATACCAACTTTTGAAAAACCCCTAGAGTTCACCAGCCTTTGCCTTGGTTGAAAAAGATTGGATAAATACTTTCCTACTCAACTAGGGAGTTAGCCCAGAATTAGAGTTAACCCAGGGTTAGCAAACTCCTGTCGATTTATACTTTGATTAATAAACCGTCCCTTAATGAATTTTTGAATTGAATCAATAATTACTCGTAAATCAATGTCATAATTGCAATCGAGACATGAATTATTTATAATAATTGATATGTTCATTGACACTCAATATGATTATTACGCGCCGGGTGGGTGTCAAGAATACCAAACCGCTGCTTTATTATTACACACGATTTTTGTACCTTTCAAGCGTGGTTTGTTATCGACAACAGGTGCAATCGATTATCAATAAACTAATCAATTATCACGGGCAATTAACCGGGTAATAATATGTCATTTACTTAGACTTTACTCTAATAATAGTTTATTATTTAATGAATGTTGTAATGGAAAATTTACACACGCATGGTCAATTTTCAAGTACAAGTTGATTGATTTTTGTAAACACACCTTAAACGAAAAAGTGTTGGTTTTTGCTTTTGAAGACCGGAAAAAGCACTTTTCGTACAATGTTTTTACTACTCTAAGAAAAATTTGAAATTCATTCTGAATAAAGTAAGTTTTACAATTCGGTAATAAGTGCCTTAGCGCACTATAGAACAAATTCAAAGTTATAATTTTCCTAGGACTTGAATGTTAACTGAATAAACAACAATTTAAGAAAGTTAACTTTACGCCACACCGCGTCGTTCTGGTAATTTTCGCGAAGTTACTGCGCGAGGATTTCCGTTTCCACTGGGATTTGCTTTAATAATTTGATTTGATTTTCTTGCAAGGAAATTTACCTACAAGAAAATCGCCATTGAATAATAATAAGTGCGGTGGGATTCATATATTATTATCCAGAGTTGCGTTCATCATCCTGGAACCTGGATTTCTTTTTTACATTTATGAATAAAATTATCAAAGTAAAAAAGTAGGTCAGGAAAAAATTATGTTGATGGATTTTCAAGAGAATGGATGTTCAAAACTTTTAGTTTAAGCGGTTTGTATGTAGCTGGAAAACTGGATTTTCTTTTCACTGCTTTTGGAAGCAGAACCGATACAATTTCATTAAACAGTGACTCGCTTTCATCATCAGAAGATTTGGATGATGGAATTTATGCATCCGAGCAAATTGTTTTTCATCTTTGTTCAATAAGCCCAATTGAAAAAAGACAAATATATTACATCGGCTAGTGATCGGGTAAATCAGATGAGCCTACTATGTACAAAATCACCCATTGTTGCAACGTTTTCTCATATTTCTTGTGACATTCAATTACCTTTATTTTCATTGAGCCTCGGCACCGTAATATTTTTCGAGTGAAAAAACGGCACGAGCGCATCGCACGACATTTTCTGATCCAAATCCCTCCTGAATTTTCCATTATCCAAATTTTTAGCCCCTGCACCGCACAACAACACTACTAGAATAACCGAAAATTGTGGCAACGATGCCATTATAGAGACCGCGCGTAATTTTTACGTGATTTTCTTTAGATTAAAGGCGACCCGCGGCGCTGCTGTTGCCCGGTTCGCGCCAACAACTGAACTGAACTGGTTCAGGTATGGGTTTAGTGCGAAAAGCTCCGGCTCGACGGACCAGTCGGCGGAAAAATTGGTGGGTGCGCGCGCCCTTTACCTCCCCCTGTAGGTCACCTGGATTCTGAATTAATTTTTTTTTAGTCGTTCAGTTGAGTGTAGTTGCCAATATTTATGTCAATAAATTCCAGCTATATTGATCACTATTCGATAATTTGAATTTGGGTCATTTCTGAACGTTTCAAAATCAAATAATCCAAGTAGGATATCAGACAGCACAGCACACAAAAGGTGTTTTCTCGCGGTGAAACTGGTGCAATCCGGTTCAATTAGGTTTGAACCTGTACATTCTTGCATTGAACCAGTGACGTCACATTGAACTTGGTTCAAAAAAGTTCGAACCGGACTCATGGCTTGTTTTTCGTTGGCATAAGACTGTGGTTCAAATCTTTCATTTTCTCGCGTTCACAAGTATTGACGTCATCTACAAATTGGTTCAAACCGTGGTTTGAGTTTGAACCATTCGCCCCGCAAGAAAACGCATAAAGTTTTAAATGCTTCAGTGTTCAGAACTCTTCAAGCAAAGTTAGAACACTTCAATAAGCCAATTAAGAACGTTCTAGAACACCTTCCGGCATCATTTTGAAAAGCTTCAGGAACAATTTAAGAACTGACGTGAAAAATGACGTTGAATGACATCTTTTGAAAGTAAGCATATACTTCAATTTATCCATCTTCAATTAGATTAGAATATAATTCAGACCTCAGCGAAGTAGTCAGACATTTGTAAAAAGTTGGATATACCATTTTCTGATTAGTTCATGTGTTGTCTTTATACAGTATACAGTCCATCACATGTTGCTACAAGACTGTCATTTTGACAGCTAATTTAAACAAGACTTGTGCTAACCTAACCTCACCTTGTCCTCCACCTGTCAGGATTAGGCAATCCAACGATCTGTCCAAATGGCGTCTGGTTGGCAAAAAACAACGAATTTCGCTATTATGAGTACTAGGCTTTATCAATACTGACATCGTTGACATGTAACAACCCGTATTCTAACCTCATAAAAATTTCAAAATGCCTGCTGGTTGGAAAAAGTCACGTGGTTTGGACTTCCTGATTACACTACTCGCCTGCGGCTCGTAATGTCAGTTTTGATGATGAATGAAGTCTTTCGAGAAAATACCAGGACAAACACGAAAATACCACGTTAAAAATAGCCGACTGTCATATGTTCTAATTGTCAGGCTTTATAAATGACATATCAAGGCCTACTCGATTGAAACCTGTTGAGTGAAGTTGGCTACAAGCGGTGTTGCCACCTAAAAAGAAATTTTTTAATGAAAAAGCTGTTAAAAAATTAATTAACAATGATTTTGAAACTTAATAGATTTAATTAATTTTTCGGTATTCGTAGTGCGAAAATTTTGCCTGGAATAATAAATCTAGGATTAATTTTTCCTAATATCTACAAAGTTGGCAACACTGATGTGTATCAGAGCAAGACAATGTTGCCAGTTTTTGGAACCAGTCATTGACAACAATATTGTGTATCGAGACACAGTGGAGTGAAGACAAACATAATATTTAGGATTATCAATTATTCTAAAATTGTAGGTCAGTTCAAATAGAATCTATTCCAGGTGTTCAGAGCTGTTTTCTCGCGATGGAACTGTTACGATCCGGTTCAATTAGGTTTGAACCTGTATATTTTTGCGTTGAACCAGTGACGTCATATTGAACCTGGTACAAAAAAGTTCGAACCAAACTCTTGGCTTATTCTCCGTTAACATAAGACTGTGGTTCAAACTTTCCATTTTCTCGCATTTACAAGAGATGACGTCATCTGCAAATTGGTTTAAACCGTGGCCTCGCGAGAAAACGCCTCAAATTCCATTTTGGTTAATGTCTGCATAAAGTTGGTAATACTGCGTGTCAAAAAGCAAGGCAATGTTGCCAGTTTCTGGAACCAGTTGATAACAACAACACTGTTTATTGAGCAGGGATTCGGACCGAAATGAAATATCGGTTCCGTTCCGGTTCCGGTCCCCAGCGTAATGACAAATATCAGTTCCGTTACAGTAGTTTTTTACAAATATTTAACGGAAAAATGTATGTTTCTGTAATTTGTGGACGCCAAAGTACTAGTAATGACGTAGGGAGTGAGTCGTTTCTCGTCTCGACGTAGGGTGTTTGCACCACAGGTTGTTATGATTGCGCTGGCTTTTAGCAATCCAGACCACGTGATTCAATATGGCCGTTCAGGTGAATTGAATATGAATCAATCCTCAGCCCAGCAGGGCCGTAGCCAGGAGAGGGCATTGGGGGGCAATGCCTCATTTGTGGAAATTGCGGCCATACTGGTGTAACACTATTGATGACATCATCAACTACGTCGTTAGCTGTTTGCGTCAGCAGTCGTAGATTAGAATATATATTTATAATGAAAAATGTTATCATGGGATCATAACCTGTGGTGAAAACACTCTACGTCAAGGCGAAAAACGACACGCTGTCTACGTAATTACTGGTTCTTTAGCGTGGTGGAGGGCTTGAGATTTTATATAGTTATGGCAAAAACAATTGGTGAAATTTGTGCAAAAAACATGTATTTCTGTCACTTTCTTTTACATGCTTGTAGAAGAGAACACGAATGCACTCAGTGCGCACTGAACTTACCAATGGATTTCACTATTAGTGTGTATTATCCTTGGTGCGAGTCGTTCAAGGCGGCGCGAGAATCAGCGCCATTTTGTTTATTTGCCAGAGATGTTATTTATTGAAAAATTTGTCTTTGGCACCATTACCACCATTGTTTACCTATAATTTAAAAGAGGAGGGGGGGAGCAAGTAGTATATGCCCTATGTCAAATTTATTATGCCCTATCACAAATTTGACTCTAGCTACGGCCCTGCAGCCCAGTAGTCAGGCACTTGTAAAAAGTTGGATATACCTACTATTTTCTAATTAGTTCATGTGTTGTCTTTATCAGTATAAAGTCCATCACATGTTCCTACAAGACTGTCATTTTGACAGCTAATTTAAACAAGACTTGTGCTAACCTAACCTCACTTTGTCCTGCACCTATCAGAATTGTCAATTAATTTTGTTATGAAAATTAAATAAAAAAACCGCATAACTCGTGCCTATTATCTATTAATCATAGAAAAAGAATAGTATTCTACTCGTGGGTAATAGCTATTACTCACTCGGATGATTACACTACTCGCCTGCGGCTTGTAGTGTGATTATACTACTCGCCTGCGGCTCGTAGTCTGATTATACTACTCGCCTGCGGCTCGTAGTGTGTCAGTTTTGATGATGAATAAAGTCTTTACAAAAGTCCCAGAAAACTGGAAAATTCGAGAAAATACCGGAACATACACGAAAACGCCACGTTAAAAATGGCCGACTGTCAAAATGTACTAACTGTCAGGCTTTATATAAATGACATTCCAAGGCCTACTCGATTGAATCTTGAGTGAAGTTGGCCACAATCAGTGTTGCCACCTGAAATAAAAATCATTTTTAATGGGTAATTTAATGAAAATGCAGATAAAAAATTAATTAATAATGATTTACTTAATAGACAATCAATTTTTCGGTATTCGCAGTGCGAAAATTTCGCCTGGAATAATAAATCTAGGATTCATTTTCCCTAATGTCTATAAAGTTGGAAATTTTGTGTATCAGAAAGCAAGTCAATGTTGCCAGTTTCTAAACCCAGTCAATCAGGGTTGCCAGATTTTAACTTTGAAAAAGCGGATAGGAAAAAAAAACAATATAGGTAGGAAACGCAGGTAAAAGGGTGTTGTCGGCCGGAAATCGAGATATATTTCCTTACATTTTTAAAAATTGGGACATTTGGCATTCAATTCGTGAATCGGGACGGTTCGGAAATATCTCTAAAAATCAGGACTGTCCCGCCTAAACTGGGACGTCTGGCAACCCTGATTAGAGCCTAATAACGTCAAAATCGGATTAAAATTAAAAAAACGATCAGTAGGCAACAGTCGAGTAGTAAACGGTACTCAAATATGAATGATATATAAGGAATTTAATTTAGTGGTACTTTTGGTATCAATTTAAGTGGGTACTACTTTATCAAATTATTTCCTTTGTGTTTGGTTTTAATTGAATTGAGACGTCCTACATTGTTTCTGTCTTTGTCTAACTCATGTATAATCGCTTTTGATGTTTTTGCAATAGTATACTACTTTATTGTTGTCTTTGTCTTACTCATTTATACTCGATAAGTAAGCCTTGTAATATGTTATTTTCAATGAAATTCAATTGAAAACAAGTTTCCAAAAGAATTTATTGTTTTATAATCGTTATTAATTATTTATTCGACAAGTTTTATTTAAAATGTTATCGATGTCATGTGGCAACGTTGCATTTACTCGGCTATTTTGGAGTGACGTGTTTACGTTTTTGTCCAGTTTTTCCTCGGATTTCCCATTTTTCCAGGACGTTTTAAGTCGGAGAAACTGGTTTAAAGTACAAAGCTTTAAGTTTCCTTCATTTTGTGTCAAAAATATCTACTTTTTCAATGAGGTAAGTGACAAAAATTAAGTTTCATCAGGTAGACTTTGGAATTTTCCACTTTTCCAAGGTTTTCTCGGTCGGGAAAATTGGTTTTAAGTACGAGGCTTTGAGTTTTCTTCATTTTTTAACAAAAGTTTTCAGTGTTAAATGCAATATTTAGCAAAATCCCATCTAAAATACTTTTTCTGGAAGTTTTAATGTGGCAACACCGCTTGTGGCTAACTTCAATCCAGTAAGTAAATTATTTGTTAGCTTTGACGGTCGGCCATTTTTAGTGTTTTTATCCTGATTTTTCTTCAGATTTTCCGCTTTCCCAGGTCGTTTTCAACCAGGAAAACTGGTTTTAAGTACGAAACTTTGAGTTTCCTTCATTTTGTGCTAAAAATTTCCAGTTTTCCAATGGGGTAAGTGACAAAAACTCAAGTTTTATCAAGTAGGCTTTGGAATGTCCTTTTTTGAGTTTTTTTTT